CGCCAAGCACTTCCCGAGGCAGCCGCGGTGCGTCCGCTGTCCCGGCGCCTACAGCGGCCCCAGCTCTTCCTGCAGCCACAGGAAACACAAGCTGCGTTTATGTTCATGTACCTCAGTTACACTTAACTTGGATTAAACTCTTCGAGGATTAAATAAAAAATTACTTAGTATCATTAAAAGAAAACTGGAAATATAATCTGTTTTAAGAAGTTGGGGGAAAATATATTTGCGAATCCATGTGATCTGTGAGGCCTGAAGGGAAAGGGCAGCGGCAAGGCCAGGCTGGTGAGAGTGTCCCCGTCACAGTGTCACCGCACGCGTGTGTTCTCACAGGAGTTTCCCATTTCTGATCTGCTTTACTGCTCCTGCCCTCGCTGTCTCATGTGCAAAAGAGATTTGGTTTCTACAAAATTTCATGTGTGTGCTCAACTTGCACGTTTTGCTCACGTTTGTTGGCAGACGTTCCAAGTGCAAATGAACACGTGTCACCCACAGACTTCCCCACGGTTTTATCTCTGGTGAAGTTTTTCTTTTCCAGTGCAGATCTCCCCCTGTGCTGTGACGCTCCTGGCCAGTGCCTCTTCCTGCTGCTGCCCCCCAGCAGCACAGCCACAAGGAGCTCTGAGCGCCCACAGCATCCCAGCTCCGGCTGTGTCCCTGGCGTGGCTGGGCACACGGCTGCGTGGCTGGAGCAGGACATCTGCTCCCTGGTTTGCTGGCTTTGCCTTTCAGCACGGGGGAACTGTGGACTCTGCACTGCTTTTCCTTGGGGGACAGACGTGAAACTGCGTCACTTTTTTCTTGTCGGCTGCTGTTGCTCACAAACGTGGTGGGGCTTCCCTGTCCTCGACCTCATCCTCCTCAGACAAATTGGGCAGGAATTGCAGAGTTAGAGAGGGCAGCAATGACAGGCTGTGACAATGTTTTGATGCAATAAGATGTGAACTGGAGGCTGAAGGACCTGGAGGTGCTGGAGCGTGTCCAGAGAAGGGCAACGGAGCTGGAGAAGGGTCCGGAGCACAAGTGTGATGAGTTCACGGCTGAGGGAACTGGGGGTGTTGAGCCTGGAGAAAAGGAGGCTGAGGGGAGACCTTGTGGCTCTGTCCAAGTCCCTGAAAGGAGGGTGGAGAGAGGTGGGGGTGGGTCTGTTGAACCAAGGAACAAGGGACAGGACAAGAGGAAATGGGCTCCAGTTGTGGCCAGGGCAGTTGAGATGGGGTGTGAGGAAGAATTTCTTTGCTGCAAGGGTTCTGAGGCATTGGAAGGGGTTGCCCAGGGCAGTGGTGGAGTCCCCATCCCTGGAGGGATTGAAGAGTCGTGTAGACACAGTGCTGAGGGACATGGGTTAGTTGGGGACTTGTCAGTGCTGGGTTAATAATGATTGGATGATCGATGATCTGGAAGGGCTTTTCCAGCCCAGGCAACTCTGGGATTCTGTAAAACGGCTGAGAAATGTAGTGATGAGAGAAACAACCGCAACTTCATCCGACATGGATTCTAGTCTTCCACTTGGAGCCAGACAACTTTGCGCACCCTGCAGTAAAATCACGAAGGCTGTTGGTGTTTGGGGGTACGCTGGAGCGATCCTGTCCTTGGGGAGGCTAGGAGAAAAGATGCAAGCAGAAATGGATTTTATTGAAAGCGTGAGTCAGCGTTGTCCAGCTGAAATACTCACTGTGGGTGAAGAGGAACGAGCCCTTCACCGCTGCTCTGGAAGAACACAGCTCCCTGCTCACGTGTGTGAGTTGCAGTTTGGAGTTGGCGGGAGCACTGGCTGCTGGGACCAGTTGTTTCTGGGTAGGGGAGGGCTTGGGGCACTGGGCGTGACTGTAACAGTCTGAAAGCATAAACAGTTCTTTACGCTTTTATTCCAGGGAATTTTTATAGAATTGACTCTTTAGTAAACAAGGGGACTGGGTATCTGTTTGCCTCTGCAGTGAGCCCATCAGAAGACAAAACCGTACATTTAATTTGGAAGCAGAAAAGTCCAGGGTGCACAACGCCATAAGCTGCTTTCTTCTACTCTAAGTACAAGATCTTATACTTCAAATGGAAAACTGAGTGTTCAATGTGTTAAAACTTTACTTTTTAATTGTATGATGCATTTCAAAAAGGAAATATAGTAAATGCCAAAATCTTTCTTGTGTTTTTTTTTCCCTCAGGACGAGTTTTTAGACGTGATCTACTGGTTCCGGCAGATCATTGCAGTTATTTTGGGAATCATCTGGGGAGTAGTTCCACTGAAGGGATTCGTGGGAATAGCAGTGTAAGCTTTATTTCCTTTTCTGTCTCATGTACTTTCCCACATTTGGACTTTACTTGGTGTCTGTTTTAAAATTGTGCTGGAAACAACGGGCTGGCCAAACGCAGTCCCTATCTGCCATGCAACTTAAAGCCAGCGTTGCATTCCAGGCTGTTATTTGTCATTAAATTAATACAAATCATAATGTCTTCATCAGCCTCTTTCTCCTCAGGCTGATTAATGCTTTTTAACATTTTTTTTTTTTAATTTTGTTGTTATTAAAGAGGGCAGGGGTAGAAGGGAACAAGAGGTTCAGTTGACTTGTGAGCTGGCCTGATCCTGCATGTGTGAGGAGGAGCTCTGAGTCTGGTGCCTAGTGTGGCCACCTAAGGAGAGTCTACAAGGGGAAGGTGTGATAGTCCTCCTCCTGGAGTCAGGAGCCCCCGTCAGAGAGGAGGTTCTGTTAGCAGACAAGAGGGGCAGCTCCTCTTTGAAAAAGGAAAGGTTTCTTTAAAACACCAAAGACCGTAGGTAACAAGCAGGCAAAGTGGCACCACTGGCAGTGCTCCTGCGGCGCTCCCAGCTTCCTGCAGTTGTTCTTTAGCCAGGGTGAGGGGGGAAGGCTGTGCCTGGAGGGGTACGTATACATCAGATCCCCACCGAGACAAGGCTGCAGTGAGCACTCTGGGTTATGAAATGAAAATGTGTTTGTCCCTGGCGCGTGACCCGAGGGGTGGGGAGCACAGCCCTGCTCTCTGAACACCGGCTGTGGGAAGATGCAGCGTCTGCTCTGAGGAGTCGCCATTTGCAAACGTCTCTGCCTAGTCAAGGTCTCGTAGTCAAGCTCACAACCTCACAGCTTTTCTTAGGGAAAATTGACTTGTCACCTTGCCCCTTCTCCTAAATGTTCTGGCTGTGGCAAGAAAGTGGAGGGAGTAGCAGCGTCTCCAAGAAAAAAAAGTTTGAAATTTAGGGAAAAGGGGTTGTAAAGCAGTGACGTGAAACAGGAACTCGATAGCTACGTGCAGTTAAATCTAAAGTGCTCCGAGTAACAGCTATGGAGTAGCTGAGAAGCATTGTTCTTACTTAGTCATCCATTCATTCACAAGGCACCTTCAGGTACCTGAGCCAATTCCTCTGCTAAGTGTTAATAAGACATGAAAGTGATTTGTTGTACAGTGGGAAAATGAAAAGCTTCTAGAACTGTGTGCATGGTTTCTCTGTGGTATGCAGGCACGCAGCTGCTCACAGCGTGCTGCCAGTCACTGAACTGGGATGTATCTCTTCCCCTGTTGCCCTTCCTCCACAGCCTTCTTTCCAGGAAATGTACCTGTCACTTCCTAGGTTGCCCCAGCCCTAAGGTGGGGTGGTGTAAAGCAAAATGTGTCTAAGGACGACCAGGAGGTCACATTTTTCTTCTCTGTCGCAGCGTAACTGTTGGCACAGCACAGAGAGCACTAAGAGTTGTCTCAACTTGAACCCCAGTGCTTAGGCTCTGAGGGCATTATTGAGTCTTCTCTGTTTTATGTCCAAGTCACTGTGTTTGGTTGTGGGACGCTAACAGGGATCTTACACTGAGAAGAGACTCTAACAAGTCTTCCCTCTTAGCAGCACACACAAGGAAATTGGATTCTGTCTGGGAGCAGGGCTGCTGCTCATCTGCAGGTCAGGAGAACTTGGCAGGGTTTGCAGATCTGCTGATGCTTCCAGCTTTTGAGTGCTGTCTATTGAGCCTTCCTAGGAGTAGGTTGTGCCTTGTGAGGTGAACTTCATCCATGCTGTGGCACCCAGAGGCGCGCTTTTAAGCGAGTGACTGAGCCTGGGAAGCGTGGCAGGAACAGTGTTGCTCTTTGCTTCCTCTCTGCTGCAGGTGAAAAATGTCTCACTGCTACATTGCTGTGTGGTGTGTAGGATCCCTGTACCCTCTGTCACTGAAATTACCTAATTTATTTCTCATCTGTTTCTTCCAGATTCTGCCTGATCAATGCTGGTGTTCTGTACCTCTACTTCAGTAGCTTCCAGCAGATAGATGAGGAGGAGTATGGCGGGACGTGGGAGCTAACAAAGGAAGGATTCATGACGTCTTTTGCACTGTTTCTGGTAATGCCTCTTGCTTTCTTTAGGTTGATTAGTGAATTGTGTTGGTACACTTTCTGGGGCACAAGACCTGGAAGAAAAGTAGGTGAGGTGAGACACTGATAGAAGAGAGATGTGTTAACATCATCTTGTAAGTGCAGTTGATTGGGAAAGAAAATCACAGAATCTGGTGGCTACTAGGTATGAAGTACAGTATTAATGCCTGGGATTTCTCTGTGGGAAAGGCTGTAGGAGCAGGCAGCTATACTTCTGCATCTACCACTTAACTTTTATGTCTCCCCATCCTCTGTCCCAGATATCCTGGTGGAGTTTCATCTAGAGCTAATTACACCCAAACTGGTGTTTTGGGTGTCTTTGTTTTTTCCTCTCCTCCCCCAAGTCTCTGAATACACCCAGCACTCGATTTGGGGGTGTTTCTACATCACTAGAGGGCTTGTGGTGGGATTTTAATGCGGAGAGGCTGGTCACCAAAGAAGGCAAGCAAGTTGAATGCCATCGTTTGTGGTGCATGGTGATCCTAACATCTCTCCAAGACCATCTCAAAGCTGGAGTTCAGTCCCCAGTCCTCTGTTGAGATCAAGGTGTGAGGCTTGTTTTCTGTGTCTGAACCCTCTCCAGAAGCACCAAAATAACCTTCACTTCCTTTTCTCTCCACAGGTTGTCTGGATAATCTTCTATACTGCCATCCACTATGATTGACACAGTCTGCAGCTTTTGCCTGTTAAATCAGTCATCAGTAAATTGAGAAGGTTTTAATAAATCATAGTCTTTAGTGGACTGGTGGGAAGGTGGGGAAGTCAAATCAACTCCCCTCTGTACCAGTGGTCTGATTAGCCTGGAAGAGCCCCGACTCTTCTGCTGGAGACATCGTCTCCATTTTATATACCCATTAATTGTTGGAACTATTAAAAAGCCATTGGAATTTCTGGAAGTAGTTCAGGACTGTTCAAATGTTGAACTTTCTGTGACTCAAGCCAGTAACTCTATCAAACTCCTGTGTGCTGAAGGTTGAATCTGTTAATTTAATGTATGTATGCCCTTCGGTTTGAAATCTGTCATTAAATCCTGACTTGTCTTCCATTGCTGTCCTTTAGACAAACAGTTCTTACAAAGCAGCTGTAGGGTACACGGGAGGAAGGCACTGCAGCATCCAGGATATGAGTTGAGTGGCTGTCCTTAGCGTGTTTTTGTAGTGATCAGGTCTGATTTGACTGTGTTGTTACCATTTCTAATATTATTTTGTTTTACTTGCAAATCAGTTGATGACCAGAATTTTTAAACAGTCTTCGCTGAAGACAAATTTTTAAGCAACTTTGCTAGAAAGAATTGTGATTCATTTGGTTAACGAAGGTTTAACTTGAGGTGTGTTTAACAAAGGTGTTAACTTCAGGAGACTTGGAAACTCCACTGCATTCTCCCAGCCTGACTACTAAGTTGTCAGCACATACCTCAGAGCTTAGTAGTCTTGCAGGACGGTCATTCTGGAGATACCCTTTTAAATGTTAAGCATTTAAATGCTTTTTCTTTTTTTTTTTTCAAGCTCTTGAATTCAACTGCTCCTTGTTAATAAATACAGGAGACTAAGACACAATTGAGGCAGCTATTATCTTAAATGCAGAGTTACTAATTTGCAAATCAGGCAAAGTGCATAGCCTCTGCTTTGTGAGGCGCTTTTTATGAGTTGATCACTCCATAGCTCAGTTCCTCCCTAGTCATGCCCTTTTTGTGCATCAGTGGAGGACTTTCTGCTTTAAGATATTTTTAAGGACGTGTCTTTCGGAAATAGTTCTTGGGAAACACGCACAGTCCTTGTTGTTGTCAGAGGACCTTATAGTCTTGTTGCCATGTGGTCCTTGCTTTTCTAAACAACAGCTCAGGCACCCAAAAAGAGTCCTGACCTAAAGCTGCCTTATAGTGAGGAGCTGATAGTTTTAGTGTGCTCTTGCTGAAAGTCTGCATTGCTTCCTCGGTGGTGGAAGGTTAACAGCCTGGGTCTCACATGTGAGCAGGCACAGCCAGGGATCTGAATCTCAAAGTGCTGAGCTGGGGCTCCACCTTCATTCTCACCAGGGAAAATGCTGGCTGTTCCTGGTGGAAAAAACACCTCAACCTGGCTAGTTGAGGTCCTTGGGATGCCAAGGGAAGAGTGCAATAGCAGACAGCTTCTGCTACTTGTGAGTTGCCAATTTAAGTAAGTGATCTCAAACAAAAACTTCTATATTTGCTCCTCCCCATTCCAAAACTTGCTCAGTCTTTTAGGCTGACACTTTCTTTTCCTCTTCTTTCAGGTGAAAGCATTAATTTCCCTCAAGAATTGCATAGCCTGCTGGTTCTAGGTCACCCTTTCCTACTGGCATCTGCATCTTAGCTACTCACAGCCCTCAGTAAAACCATTGTATACTTGAAATGCTCTAATAAATGTTGCCTGGGTAATCCACTGTGCAGCTTCTGTATCCTCCAGTCTTTGAGGTTTTGCAGAATGGTGGGAGTGTGGGATTCCCTGAAGAGTTTGGATTTTTTTTTTTTTTTTTTGTAAATATCTAAGCCAGCAGCTCTTTGGGATTCTCAGGGCTCTTGTGCTGCAGGCTTGAGTCCCACACTTTTAGCAGGGGCCAGAAGCATTTGCAGTGGCAGTAGAAGCTCATGCCTAGATCCACACTTTCATGGGCGATTAAGCAGGTTAAGCCAAGTATTGCCTCTGTGTAAGCTCATCTGCTCCTTCAGCAGCTGTCCCTGCGCTGTGACACGCAATCGTGGCAGAGCCACTGCTGTGTTGCAGAGTGGCCAAGTCTGGTCCAGAGCAGGATTTCAAGCATTGCTGTAAAATGTGCAGTGAAAAGATTGCTGAGCTGGACAGTTGCTTACCCACCCCTTTGCTTTATTCCTCGCTTGCCTGCAGTCCCACCAGCTGAGTTTCTTGGTCTTTGCAGTTCTAGTGGCTGGAACCTGAGATGGAACCTGAGTTGAGGAGGATCTTCTGTGGAGGAGGATCATGACTGTGCAGAAGAGACATTGGTCTCTAGATCTTCTCAAGGCTCCTGGTAAATAAGTTAGTGATTGCAGATGCTCAGCTTCTAATCTCTTTAACATTCCTGTTTTAAGGGGTGCCTCAATGGCTAGAAGCAGGTATCCCTAGTGCTGGTCACCAAGAGAATGAAAGCTATGGTGTCTGTCTCCAAAGAAATTAGGTTAATTTGACGAAGCTCAGGGGGACATATCAGCCTGTAGAATGGAGCTGAGCTTATTACAATGATGAGCACTGTAAAAACAAGGGGGTTTTGCAGAGACTTGAGAGATGGACACAGGGATGGTCTAGCAAAGAGCATGAAGCTGAGTGCTAGGAGGACAGAAGAGCAGCAGCGGAGTGGGGACTGCAGTGGGGAGCACCTCTGTCCTCAGCAGTTTTGGTGCTGGCACACTGAGCGTGCTTGCTCTGCACTCTCCTCTCCTTGAGGGGTGGGTGACTAAAACCATGGCTGGTTTGGGATCTGTGCTACCATGGAGCAGTGATGGGGAGAAAACAGTCTTTCCTGCACTGGAGAGCTGAGCTGTGGGAGCTGTAGCTGTTGGGATATGGTTCCACCAGGAGGCTGCATCCTCATGCAGAGAAGAGGCCGTACTCCCTGCAGGCTCTGTGAGCTCGCTGCTAGCGGCAGACCTGAAGGAACATCACTTTGGCTTTCAGCAAAAGGAAGCCAGTCCCTGGCAGGAAGGAGAGTGAGATATTCCCTGGCTTAACCTCGTTGTGAGGAGAGGAACAAGCGTGTTCTGTTGTGGAACTGCCAGAGAGATTTCTTGTGGTCTTTCTTGGGCTTCAAGCATAATATCTCTTAAAACTTTAAGGCAAGTTATTTTGGGTGTTAAAGGGAAAAACGGTGTAGATGCAAAGCTGTGCTAACAGGCGTTGAGAGGTGGCTGTGCAGCCGGCTGGGCATCGTGTGTTTTGGCAACATCAGTTGTTAGACCCCAGCTGGAAGAGCTGCTGCCTGCGGCAGAGTAGCTCTGCAGCATGGTGTAAATTTGTGATGTTGGCCCAGCAAGGGAATGTTGCTGATGTCACTTGTCTTCAACAGTGCTTGGGATGTCCTTAAAGTGAGTGCTGCTTGTTGGGGCTGGGAGCTCACCGCTGAGGAGTCTCTGTTCCCTCTGTGGAAGTGTCATAATCTCTGTATTTTCCCAGCTTGATTCCCAAGTTTGCAGAGGCTGTGCTGGGATTCAGCTTCCCACAGGTGACACAGGAGTAGTAGAGGCTGGGTTGGTCTAAGCCAAGCAGGGTCTTGAAAGCCCAAGAAGTGGAAGTAGAGCTTTGTCTTCGAGCACTGCTAAGTCACACAGGCATCTGACAACTGGGGATAATGTTTGCTGAGACCTTCTGGGACAGCAGTGTCCCTGCCCACACTTCCTGGGGTGCTTCATTCCAAGGATGTCTGTTAATATTCTGCCAGGCAAATGGGTGGATGCAGCATGCACAAAGCTCCTGGCCTTGGAGGAGCTGCCTGGGTGGTGAGGGACCACCTCCAACTGCTAGGAATGGGAAGGCTGGAGAGATGTCTGAAAATGGTGCAGGCTGTGACTGGCTTGCAAAAGCCAAACTGTCCTCTCATGAGTATTTAGTTAATAACTGGCAGTGTCCTATTTAGTCAGTAGGACCCCCTGGGAAATGGCCCTCAGGGACAAGGGAGCAGAACAGAGCTGGCAGATCTTTAAGGATGCTTTCCATAGATGCAAGAGCTCTTGATCCCCAGCTGTAAGAAATCAGGCAAGAAAGGCAAGAGACCAGCATGGCTGAGTCAAGATCTGCTGGACAAACTAAAGGGCAAGAAGGAAACGCACAGGCAGTGGCAGCAGGGACGGGTATGCTGGGAAGAGTATAGGGACGCTGCCCAGCTGGGTGGGGATGGGGTCAGGAAGGCCAAGGTGCAGCTGGAGCTGAACTTGGCAAGGGATGCAAAGAATAATAGGGGCTTCTACAGGTATGTCAGCCAGAAAAGGAAGGTCAAAGAAAGTGTTACCCCTGTGATGGCAAACTGGTAACAGCAGATGAGGAGGCTGAGGTACTCAACAACTTTTGTCTCAATCTTCACCGGCAACCTCTTCCCACACCTCTCAAGTGGATGGACCACAAGGCAGGGACTATGGGGAGCACAGTCCCTCCCATTGTAAAAGATCAGGTTCATGACCACCTGAGGAACCTGAATACGTCTGTAGGACCTGATGAGATGCATCCCAGAGTCCTGAGGAAACTGGCTGATGTAGTTGCCAAGCCACTCTCCATGTTATTTGAAAAGTCATAGCAGTCAGGTGAAGTCCCCAGTGACTGCAAGAAAGGAAACCTTGCCAAAGCCACTCTCCATGATATTGGAAAAATCACGGCAGTCTGGTGAAGTTCTCGGTGACTGGAAACAGAGAAACGTTTCTACCCATTTTTAAAAAGGGTGGAAAGGAGGACCCTGGGAACTGCAGACCTGTCAGACTCACCTCTGTGCCTGGGAAGATCATGGAAGAGATCCTCCTAGAAGCTATGCTGAAACACATGGAGGAGAGGGAGGTGATTTGAGACAGCCAATGTCTTCACCAAGGGCAGGTCCTGCCTAACCAACCTAGTGGCTTTCTATCATGGAGTGACTACATCAGTGGACAAGAGAAGAGCTATGGATGTCATCTATCTGGACTTCTGTAGGGCCTTTGACACAGTCCCTCATAATATCCTTCTCTCTAAATTGGAGAGGTATGGATTTGATGGGTGGACTGTTCGGTGCATAAGGAATTGGCTGGATGGTCATGGTAGTGGCCAATGGCTCAATGTCCAAATGGACATCAGTGACAAGTGATGTCCCTCAGGGGTCCATATTGGGACCAGTACTGTTTAATATCTTCATCAATGACATCAACAGACAGACATCATCTCCCCTACTCCACTCTGGTGAGGACCCCCGCCCCTGCAGTGCTGTGTCCAGATCTGGGGTCCTCAGCACAGAACAGACATGGACCTGCTGGAGCGGGTCTAGCGGAGGCCACAAACATGATGAGGGATGAAACAGCTCTGCTGTGGAGAAAGGCTGAGAGAGTTGGGGTTGTTC